TTTTAAGGGACTTAATATCATCAATAATAAAAATTATGAATTGAATTGAATATGAGGATGGAATATAAAGTAGCAAATTCTAGGAACAAAAATAAATCATTTAAATTAAACATGTATTTGGAGATGCACTTACACCAATTAATTTTTCAGGAAGGTAAGTAGCTTAAAGTAATGACCATTAATGGTAAACATATTTGTAGTTACATGATAGATATTTGTAATCCTCTAAAATCTAACATAATGGTCACAGAGCTGTATTCTAGACAATATACTTCTTTTTGCATATGCCTCTTAGGTTATAAAAAGTACACCTGTAGTTCATCAAAATGTGCCCCAAGGCACAATACCATTTTACTCAGTCATTAGAAAGTTTAGCATAATTGCTTAGCATAATCCAAAGAAAATATGAGTACTGACATCAGGGACTCTCCAATTTGTTAGGCAATTGTTCCATAATTTTTGGCACCAAGATAATCCACATGTTGAAAAAGCAATTAATCATTGGTGTTAGTTATCAAGTTATGATTTTAGCTGTTTCCTCCCCAAATTGACCTGAAATGACAGAGTTCCTTATTTCATTTTTGTAATATTCTGACTTCAGAGATCAAAAGTTTAAGTATGCCAGCCTGGTTATAGTTGACCTGAGTTTTGTGTTAATTAGTTTTCTAAAATAAGTAGATCATAACTTGATATTTACAAAGATGAATGGTATTAATTTCACTAATATTTGGGTAAAAGGTTTAGTGACCTTTAGAAACTTACAGATTGATTACCTCAGAAGAAGTTATTTGAAGTCCTTAAACTAGCATTTTGGTCCCAAAAAGATAAATCTATTTGCTGTAGGAACTTGTGTTGAAAATAGGCCAAAACAAGAGAACACACAGATTTTAAATTTTCTAATATTTTGCAAATACAATGACATAGCCACTTCAGTCATTAAGCAGTGAAATAATTACCTCACCATAATTTTAACATAATCATCTTTTACTTATACCATAAGGATGAGTAAAAATAAGAGCCATCATTCTGTGTGGTATATTTTCCTATCTTCAAAAATCACCCTCTCACAACAAACCCCCCCACCCCACCCCCCCGCCCCGCATTGCTCAGCAATGCATGTGTCTTTGGAATTCATAGTTAAAACAATCCAGAAATATAGAAAGAAACCTTGGAACTCAACAGTCTGTGTTCAGTTCAGTTTATTCAGCTACGTGTGGATACAGTGCAGACTTAGCAATATAAATGAAGTCTTCTCTGCATGCATGACTTATGCATCTGTACCTCATCACTCACAGAAGTTTTTGGAAACTCCGAGCCTCTGCAGTATGTAGCACTCCAACTCCCAGTTTCTCTGATTCATTGTAAAGTTACTATGCTCCTGGCCCTCTGTGTTTATTTTCAAGTGGCTGCACTATTGGGTAGTTTATTATTCTATTGTGCAATGCAGTGATTTTTCAAAATCCTGAATGCTAACTAGGTAGTCATACTAATTTATGACAACAATCTTCAGACTACATCCCTCAAGTGGAGTGTGTGATGTTTAGTTTCAGAGCTTATCCACATTCAGAGCACAAACAGCGCGTCTTCCTGTTGGCCTTTTGTTTTTGGTAGTACTACAGATTTAAAAGTAACAACTTGTGTGGCGTCTTCTTGTTAACCAATAAATAAAACATGTAGAATGAAGTGCTCATGTAACCTAAAAATGGTACTAAATGCATCCATTCTCAACAATATAAATAAGTTAATGTTGAATTGTTTGCAACTGATTTCTCTCTCCATCTCTTCTCCAGCCCATGTTTCTGGCTCTAGTTTTATTACGCGGACATTGGGATTAAGTTTTTGATAACGATTGACATTTCCTGTATATTATCACCAAGGAGCTTGAGAAATTATCTCTGAAACAAGTTGAAAGTGTACAAAAAACAGACTTCGCTTAGAAAATGGCCTATTCAGCTCCTGAATAGCTCAAGGCTGTAAGATAATACTTTGCAGGGAAAGGTAACCCCAATTCATTAGTTTCTGAATAATGGCTGCAAATTGAAGCTTGATTTCCTAAAATCTCAATAATATAAATTGGAGTACTTATACCAAAAGTGGTCGTAACAGTACATTAAAATTTAGAGATACTTTAAAATTATTTGTAAAGGATCTTGCTTTTTAATAAAGTAGCTATATTTACAATACAATACAAATGTGCCCTGGCCTGTGTGACTCAGAGTTATTTGGGCCCCTTCCTCTGCACTGAAGAGTTGCCCATTGATTCCATCAGGGTGCAAGCTCGGGTTGCAGGCTCAATCCCCAGTAGGGGGCATGCAGGAGGCAGCTGATTGATGATTCTCCTCCCCGCCTCCCCCCGCCCCCCCTAAAAAAAATCAGTAAAAAAAAAGCAATGCTCCTTTCTGCTATTTTCGCGTGGGCTGAGACAATGAGTAGAGGTACATTGATGTCCCTGTAATATCCATTTAACCTCTCAATGTGTGGTAGTTATTTGGGTATTGACCCTACTCCCAGCTCCAGGGGTGGCCGTTAATTGGTCTAATGCAGTCACTATATATAATCCAAGGGATGTGCTCATTACTCAAGTTAGTCAGAGGGAAGTGGGAACCTTATTTTGACCATCATGAGCAGCTATGTCCCCCTCACTGCATGGTGTGGTATGCAGCCAGTTTGGCAGAATCTGCTTTAGGTTTAGTCAACATGTGTAGGGCAGAGCTGAGAAGAAAACTAATCCAACTGTGCCTAAGCCAAATTTGACTCTGGACTCTGGAGTTAGGTGAGCCAAAAATTCTTATTGTTTAAGCAACTGGTTGTGTTACTTTTGTTACAGGCATTTTCCATCACACCAGATGTCTTTTAAAAAATGTTTTTATCTTTATTGTAGAAAGTGTTATAGATGTCCCCTTTGTTTTCACACCAAGACGTCTTAATTGACTAGGTTACAAATGTCAAATATGGATAATTATATTCTAGTCTTGGAATGAAAAATGCCAATATGTTTTCACAGTGACTTCAATTACTCCTCCTTCATGTCAGAACCTTAACTATTCAATCATGTCTGTCAGAGAAACCTCAACAAGCCTGTGAATGTTCCTGAGTGACTCGGTATGGTGTTGGGGTCGCTGGAGGCTGTAGCAGTCAATACAGATTTTGGCTGCTTGTTGGGGACAACCAGATTTTTTTAAGGGCACAGAAATGGAGGTCAGCTTGAGCTATCTCAAACTGGGGTGGCTGCTTTTACTTAAAGGGATATAAAGTGAGACCAAAACGCTAATGTATCATTAACTGAGAAAGTATTTGGTTACTAATGGTACCTGGGTTCCTCATCTTGCCAAAGACCATCTCATTGCTAAATCTAATGGAAAACCTTTAGGCTTTGCTTGCCTTGACTTCTTGGCAGCATGTGAAGGCAAATTACTTCCGAGAGTTTTACTTCTGTGTTTTATTCAGTGATCTCTTCTTCCTCTGCCATTTTAAAATTTGATGTTTCCTTGATTTGTCTTGGGTCTTCTGCTCACTCTTCATTCGCCAAAGGTCATCTCATCTGCTTCCACCCAGCCATTACCCCCAAATCTCTTAACAGAATGCACTTAGAAACCTCAATCAAACACTTCAACATTTCTGCTGTTTAAGGCATTTAACTCCCCATTGTCGTTAGGACAGTGATGGCAAACCTTTTGAGCTCGGTGTGTCAGCATTTTGAAAAACTTTAACTCTGGTGCCATGTCACATATAGAAATTTTTTGATTTGCAACCATAGTAAAACAAAGACTTACATTTTGATATTTATTTTATATATTTAAATGCCTTTTAACAAAGAAAAATCAACCCAAAAAATGAGTTCTCGTGTCACCTGACACGCGTGTCGTAAGTTTGCCATCACTGTGTTAGGATGATCCAAAAGGCTCCTGCAAGGGTCTACCCTCATCTTACCTATTAGTCATCTCTTGCCACTCACCACATTCTACTCGACACTCACGCCTAACCGAATCTCAGTTCTTGAAGGTTCTAAAGTTCTTGCTCTCTGCCTCTGGCCTGCCACACATTGCTGTAGTCTCTGCCAGTAGAAGTAATTGCTTCCCCATTATGCTTTTTCTGGTTAGTCCTCCATTAAAATTACAGCCTAATGTCAGGCAATCCCTTCAGTAAGCTTACCTGGGTAACTCCACTCGGGGGTGTTTTTCTTGTTCCCCAGCTCACTTTATTTCTCGCTTCACAGCAATATGCTTTGGTTCTTGTTAACTAAGTCCTGCAAGGACAGTGGTCATGTCTCTCTTGCTCAGAATATCTCCAGAGAGTAAAACTGGGCCTGGTTCAGTAAGAGCACTTGGCGAATTTTTGAAAGACTATATATCCTGTGCTAGACTCTGTCTCAAGTAAGTTATTTGATTTTCCTGAAAAACACTGTATTAAATTGTGTTTTTACTAGTGGGCTATCAAAAGGAGGTCCTCAAATAACACTGCTTTATTCAACGCTATTTCATTTGAATGTTGATGAGATGCTCTAGGAACTTAACTCTTGTTTATATCAATTATCCTGTCGTAAAATTGGTTTCATTGGTTTCCCTGTAGTTCTAAGGACCTTCAATAAGGACTTAGTGTATAGGCAAGTTGAAAATAGCTCTGATAATCAGTATGGCAAGTGAAATGCTGAAATTCTTTGATTAATTTAGAAAGGCAAGACTCTCTAAAAAATGGAAAGGTTCTGCCCTGGCCGGTGTGGCTCAGTTGGTTGAGTGTTGTCCCATGCACCGAAAGGTCATAGGTTTGGTTCCCGGTCAGGGCACATACCCAGGTTGCAGGTTCAATCCCGGGTTGGGGAGTGTCTGGAGGTACCTGATCAATGTTTCTCTCTCTCTCTCTCTCTCTCTCAAAAAAAACCCACCCCAAAAGCATATTAAAAAAAGAAAGATTCTAATATTTCTTTTCCTCAATTCTAGAATATTAAAGAATACTAGAAAAATGTTGTAACCCCTCCCACAAAACAATGAAAGAACAATTTCTTTTTAAGGACTTTTATTACAGTATGTTAATATATTCAGGACACTTCAGAGCACCTTATACTTCTAATCAGATTTTTGGTAACTGTTTTTAAAGTGTTACTTGAGTATTTTTCTCACACTGGCTTTCAGGCAAAAGTACTACTTAGTGATTGTTTAAGAGACGTTAATTTGATTAAACAGTTTATCCTTAATAACCTGAGACATCAATCCATGGATAGCTTCTATGGTCGTTTTACAGCTGGAAAGAAAAAACACATTACATAATGTCACAAGACCCGAAAAGTGGTTCAATTATACAAGCCCCCTCCTTTCCATTGCTGAACCCCCAATAATGGTCTTCAGTTCTATTCATACTCCCTTAAACAAACCAATTAATAGTTTACTCTCGTTATTTTTAGCCTCCTGCATGTCTTTTGACCATTTCACTACTTATGAGCACCTTCACAAGGAATAACAAAGTGAAATTTGATAGAATTCATGACAGTTAATTTTGTTATGTCACAGCAGCTTTGGGAAAAGTTTTGATTTAGAAGGTGACTAACATATATAATTCATAATTATATTGATTCCAATATTACATTAAAATCTATCATTCCTTTCCTTGTCGTTTTTTACTTAGAATAATTTAAAAAATGATTTTAAAGAATCCTATGCCTTTTTCCTGAAATAAACACAAACATCCTTCAAAGAATTAAAAGTCAAAGTTAGTTCAGTGGGTAAAGGACTCAGATTTTAGAATTTATCTATAATAATAAAAGCGTAATATGCTTCGTAAGAAATTGAGATGTAAATGTAGTTAAAATTACAAATCACAGACTTATAGAGACAGATGAGGAAAATACTAGTACACACTTAGAGCAAATACCAAAACTGAGACCTAATGTCAAAGGAAAATGTAATTCTTTTCCAGGCTATTAGCTCTATCTATACCTGCTGAAAACCCATGGAAAAGAAAGGAATGAGGTAATTCTAACCCAATGGGGCTTCTGCTCCTAAATACACATTGTCTTCCCTTCTCCTTTCTCATTTCCACCCAGCAGTCCAGTTTTTCTTAAAAGGGATACCAAGGTTTCGGTTTATACAGATGTCAACATGCTTTTCCCTTCCTTTCTGCTCCTAATTATCATATTAAAATTCAAAATTTTGTGAAAGTAAATGTTATTTAGGTAGTCTTTCCAATCCTGTATGCATCTGCAGGGCCACCTAATTATTTCCTAAGGTATCAGGGAACATATCCCAAGTTTGTTTCTAACAAATCTTGGTAGTAAAATTTGGGATACTAAACAAAAGATTATTTCAGGAGAATAACAAGGGAGATATACACTCATTCATGGATAATAAAGACCATTATAAACTTATGAACAATATAGATACAGAGGCAGAGCTGCCTCAAACAGATTGCCAAACTGCAGCGGGAAGGCCGGGGAGGGTTGGGGGGCGGGAGGTAGGGGGGTAAGAAGAGATCAACCAAAGTACTTGTATGCATGCATATAAAAAAGAAAAAAAACACAAGGGAGATATAATCATTACTGTGCTACTTAGGGTTTAAAACTTTATAAAAATTTTAAATTTAATAAATTTAATAAATCTTACTTTAATTCCTAGAAAATAACTAGGTTAAAATGGATTAAGACATACTTTTGCAAAAGCTTTTAAAAAAAAAGATTCAATGATTAGCCCTAGCTGGTTTGGCTCAGTGGATAGAGTGCTGGCCTGTGGACTGAAGGGTCCTGGGCTAGATTCCGATCAAGGGCACATACCCAGGTTGCCAGCTCTATCCCTAGTAGGGGGTGTGTAGGTGGCAGCTGAGATCAATGATTCTCTGTCATCACTGTTGTTTCTCTCTCTCCCTTTCTCTCTGAAATCAATAAAAAAATTATTTTAAAAAAGGAAAAAAAATCTCACAATGAACTATAGAGAAAACATCAGTACAGATGCTTCATTAAAAAAAAACAGATTCAGTGATTGATTGGTTTCTTTGGTTACTTTCTAGCTGAACCTAGGAAAGGTGTGACTGGGAGTGTTTCATAACATTACCTAGACCTTTAAGCTTTTAACGTTCTTATCTAATGTCTCCTAAATTTTCAAAGTTAAACTCTGCCTTCAACAGTTCTTAAAGGTCCTGAGAAGTTAGTATTCAGCCACTAATTCTAAGTTATAAGTAAGTTAAACCATAAGGAATTTGAATCGTATTATTTGCAAATCTGGAAGCAAAAAGAGGGACAGGAATAGATTTGCTTTTACCTGTCTCGAGTAGCTTTGGCAAGTTTGTCTTCTGACTTTCGGTCGTGTGTTTCTAAACCCAACATGAAACTCCCTCGTCCCAGCTGAGCTTCTGACTGTTCTAATTTTTCAGACAAATCAAAGACCTGGCCGGTGGTATAGTCTGCATTCTGTGGGGAAAATGATATTGTTGCAGTGTGTGATACAAGTCTGCCATTAGATAATTTTAACATAAAATAATTTTCTTCAATGTAGAACATTTCATTTACAAAGAATTCCACTATGAGGCAGCTCTCTGAGCAGCCTGCTGCAAGTTTCTCTTGGAATGTACTTTCTCTTTGCTTGTCCAAATAAATCTTCTCTAGTAAAAAACAAAAACAAAGAATTCCACTATGAAAATCTAAGTGGATAGTCAGTGAATTATTTGTTATAATAAGAGGATTTCACAGATCTGAGCCCAGGTTCTGGTTCTGCTGCAAATTGGTTAGGATGCCTTGAGAGAGTGCCTTTACTTTTCTATGCCTTTAAGTCTTCATCTTAGGATGGTCTATGGTACCTGGCCAAGCTTTAATAGCTGTTAGCTAATTAAGTTACTTGTTCTTGTTCAACTTCCAGAATTAAATATTGGCTGACAATATTTAAATAACATTGTTCTAGCTTTCCTGATAATAAAATTAACAGCTTTGCAGAAAATGTAAAGCAATATAAAGAAGACAAGAAACACATATACTCCCTCCACCTTGCTCTACCCAGAGTTATATTTTAGAGCAGCGGTTGCCAACCTTTCGGACCTCACGGAACATCGGTAGTCCACGGACCACCAGTTGGTGACTGCTGCTCCAAAGGTTTCCTTAAACCAGTGGTTGCCAATCTTTCGGACCTCACGGACCACCGGTTAGTGATCGGTGTTTTAGAGTATTGCTATATTTTCACAATGCACAGCTATATTTGGCAAGCTGGAATATATACAGGGTGGGGCAAAGTAGGTTTGCAATTGTTCGTATGTTAAAAGAATTGCAGGTTATGATTATAACAACAGCAAATAAACTATGTTTGCACAACCGTAAACCTACTTTGCTTTGCCCACCCCTATATAAACCATTTTGTCCAATTTCACACTTTTCAAAAAGAAAAAAATTTATAGTTACATATATATGCTTAACTGAAATATTTTAAAAGATTTTTAGGCACATCTTTTTGAAAATGTGTCTAAAATAAAAAAAAACTTTCATGAAGATGAGTTAAGAAGTATATAGTCCATTTCTTTCCTATATTTTCAATAGAAGAGCATTAAAATTTAATAAACTTGGCAACAATTGGTGTGTTATCCTGATTGCTCAGTTTACAGACAGTGTACAGAAAATACAGTTCAATCACCAAACACGAAAAGTTATTTGCTGCCATCATAGTTACTACAGAAAGCCCTTTAAAATGCTACCAGTAATTCAATTTTACAAACTTATATTTTTAAGGAAGCAATTATATTCACTTTGTCTGGATCTAAATGGTTTAGGACACCGCCACCACCACCACCGTCCCCTGCCTCAAGTTTGGAGAAAACCCTCAAGTTTATGACCACTTCATATTTGGAAGATTAGTTCAAGCCATGAAAATGTAGGAAGGCAGAAATAGTTATAGTGTGAAAATGAAATAAAATGACATCAATTACATTTCAGACACACAATAATTTCATAGAGGACTAATTTCTTAAATCAGAAAATTATTTTTTTCTGGTAGTTTTTAGATTACATGCTTTAGCTGGGGAAATAGATGAGTTGAACATGTTTTATATATTTCTTTCTTAAAAATGCTGCAATGTACTATATATAAAACTACAAGGAAGGAAGAAATATAATTAAACCATTTCTTGCTTATTAATGTCCTCAATATATGTAGTGCTGTAATACAGGGACGCCAAAGCCTGAATAAGTAAGTCTGCCTTCATACAAAGGTTCAGGCTGCTATGGTCTTAATGTTTTCTCCCTTGTTACCATGTGTCACTTCTGGCTGCTGTGAGTACACTTGCCTCTAAGGAAACAACACACATAAAGCATTTAGCAGTGTTTAGCATATAGGAAACTCTTAATAAAAGTGTGCTGTTATGGTCACTCTCCTTTCTTCTAATATGCTACTTCTGACTGTGGAGGATAAAAAATAAGAACAGAAAACTTGCCAGAATTGTGTTTAAAGTTATAGTAAATGCTCAAGTGGGGTCTTTTTCTCTGAATACAACGAACCAAACAACAACAAAAATAACTTACTGAGGCTTTATTATATGCAAGACACTTTGCTAACTGCTTTATATAAAGTATTTAATTAATTCTCAATGTACTTAATGATGTGGGTACTAATATCATTGAACCCAAGAAAGGCTCAGTCACATTAAATAACTTTTTGACGGTTAAACATTGCTAGTAAAGTGGCAGAGTTGTTTGAACTGAGTTAATTTTATTCCAAATTTTGTGGTTCTAAATTGTACTATATGAAGTGGCCATCTTTTTTTTCTTTTAAGTAAAAAACAAAATAAAACAAAAAATAAACTGTTCCTGGCTAAGCTATAGATAGCATAATTAGAAGCTTGTTAAATAAATATCCTTCTTGCCCTAGCCGGTTTGGCTCAGTGGACAGAGCATCGGCCAGCGGACTGAAGGGTCCCAGGTTCAATTCCGGCCAAGGGTACATGCCTGGGTTGCAGGCTCGATCTCCAGTGGGGGGCATGCAGGAGGCAGCTGATCAATAATTCTCTCTCATCATTGATGTTTCTCTCTCTATCCCTCACCCTTCCTCTCTAAAATCAATAAAAACATATTTGGGGAAAAAAATAAAATAAATATCCTTCTAAGTATATTAGGTTTTAATGATAATACTGAAAAATATTCAGCAACTTTTTCGCCTAACATCTGCTGCTTTAAGGTAATGATATTCTGATTTCCTTCTGGGACAACCCTTTCCTCATTCTTAGTCCATGCGCTCCTAGAACAGTTTCTTCTACCCCAGCCCACTAGTAAATCACTTGGCCCAGATCTGTCACATGGACATGTGACTTAAGCAAAGCCCAGACACAAAGCCCTGGGGAAGAGAGGGAGAGAGACAGAGAGGGACATTGGGAGAAAGGAAGGAGTGGGAGAGTGTGTGTATATATTTTGATCTTCTCTTTTTAACATAAAACTGAGAGGCTAGAAGGTCTGAGACGAATGCTGCCATCTTGCTTTCACATGAAGCCTGAAACTGAAGCAAACTGACACGAAATCAAAGCCGAGAGAGAAGGACCAAGCTCTCATAATACTGTTTGAATGCAAACTTAGCTGAAGCTGAACTATGCCTTACTCCTCAACTTTGCAGCTCACGTGATTCTCTTTTTTGTTTAAGCTAGTTTGGCTGGGTCTTCTGTCACTTGTAACTTGAGTCCTACCTGAAACACCCAACACAATAAAAAAAAATAGTATTTGTCTTTTTCTCTATGTCTCTTTATGGTAGGGGCAGATCTGATCCTCACCTGGGTACTGTATTTGCCATTTAGACTTAGTCTTAATAGTATACGACACAGACCTTTGCTTGGACTATTATCCTAATCCAACTCTGGTCATGCAGAATCTGACCCCAGTCCTGCTGTCTTGGCTAAGTCAGGTGTAGCTACTCCATGAAAAAGAGTTTCAGGTATTAAGCATCTTATGTAGCCTAAATAAAATTCAAACCCGTCCCTTCAAATTATAGTACTTACGGTAAGCAAGCTAGAGGAACTCAGCGTATTCACCCAGTATTTATTCCACAAAAGCTCAAGCAATTTGCGATCCAAGGAGGACTTGAAATATGATACTTCTAAGGCATAATATCTATGAAACAAAAGCACAAATTTAGTAAGAAAAAAAACACACCTCAACCATCTATATATATAAATCCCTAAGTGACCAGCTGACTGGCTGACCATCCGGTAGCTATGACATGCACTGACCACCAGAGAGCAGATGCTCAATGCAGGAGCAGAAACCACATGCATAGAAACATGGAACAGATTGATGAATCTCAGAGGGATGGGGGTGGGGGTGTGTGGGTCGGGAGTGGTTGCCGGAGGGCAGGAAGAGATCAATCAAAGATCCTATATGGGAGGATACATCAGTGGGGTCCCTCGGCCTGGCCTGTGGGGATTGGGCTGAAACCAGCTCTCCGACATCCCCTGAGGGGTCCCAGATTAAGAGAGGGTGCAGACTAGGCCGAGGGACCCCACTGGCCTCTAGTATCATATAAAATTTAAAACCAAAATTAAGTAAAAACCAAAATTTAAAAGAGCATCGGCCTGTGGACTGAGGGGTCCCGGGTTTGATTCCGGTAAGGGGCGTGTGCCTTGGTTGCGGGCACATCCCCAGTGGGAGATGTGCAGGAGGCAGCTGATCGATGTTTCTCTCTCATCGATGTTTCTAGCTCTCTATCTCTCTCCCTTCCTCTCTGTAAAAAATCAATAAAATATATTTTAAAAAAATCAAATAGTAATGTTTTAGTTTTTAGTCCAAAAGAACATCAGATAATCATGGTTCCTTTACTCTTCAGGGGTATGGTTTCAAAATCTTCTGCTTAATAAACTTTTTTGTGTTATATTTTTTCTTTCTGTAGAGCTCAGAAATTCCCAAGAAGTTAACTCACATTCTAATGAGGTCGATAACAAGGAAACAAAATGTATCAGATGGTGTCAAGTGCTAAGAAAAATAATGCAGGAAAGGGAACACAGCGACAGGAAGGTGCTATTTTAGATAGGGTGACCAATGAACATTCCCTGTTAAGGTGACCCTTAATCAGATACTCAGTGAGTGAAGTAGTTACTGAGCCTCATGGAAAAAAGGAAGAACGTTCCAGGCAGAGGACACAACAAGTGCAAAGGCCCTAGGCAGGAGCCTGCCTGGCATGTCTGACAGACCATAAAGAGGCCACTGTTCCTGGACTGGGGAGAGCAAAGGTTCAGCGAGAGGAGATGAGCTCAGAGAGGCTGCAGGGGCCAGACCACACAGGGCTGAGTGCCATGGTGAGGAATATGGATTGTATTCTTGGTGAGAAGGGAAGCCATTCTGATGAGGAACATGATTTGACTTGGATTTTAACCAAATAAGTTGGGGGATAAAAGACCTTTAAGGGATGAAGGGCAGAAAGAGGAAGACTAGTGAGAAGGCCAGTGCTTTGGTTCAGGCTCCACACAGCTTGGGGCACGATGAAACAAGAGAGGTGGCAAGGTACATTCAGAAGGTGGAGAAAACTGTCCTCTTGGTCTCTTTAACGCTTCTGAAATTGAGATGTAACTCATATACCTTAAGATTCACTATTTTAAAGAAGTATACAATTCAGTGGTTTCTAGTATGGCTTCTTTAACTTTTGGAGTGAAAATGTAGCAAGAATTTTTGCTAGATGGAACCTGGGTACTTTGAGGTTGCAGACAGTCTAGTGTCACCTTGGCCCTGAATATAACTTCTTTTAACTGTTAATTTCATTAATAGACCAAGTATCTTATACACTGATAAAATGTTTATGGTTGTGTGAAAGACAAATAATGTTAGACTAAAACAATTAATAAAAAATCAAATATGATCCTAAATTTGTACATTCTTACTATTATTTTAAAAGATATTATGAAATGCATTTTGTCTGAACCTTTATTCTCATATGTAAGGGGCTTGGACTGTACGATCGCTAAGGTTTCTTATAAGGTCTCTGGCATCAGATGCATTTTAAAATTACTTACTATTTGCAGTGTACACCAAAATCTTCTATTTTATTCAGTGGGATAGTCTGGTACTCAGAAGGGCCTTCATCAGGAGGTTTGTATCCCTAAACAAAAATGAAGAAAATAAAAGATAAGAAAAAAAATCAAACCAGAGGAAAAACAATTTTTAAAATATGTTTTATTAATATTTTACAGAGAGGAAGGAAGAGGGATAGAGAGTTAGAAACATTGATGAGAGAGAAACATTGATCAGCTGCCTCCTGCACACGCCCAACTGGGGATGTGCCCGCAACCAAGGTACATGTCCTTGACCGGAATCGAGCCTGGGACCTTTCAGTCCGCAGGCTGACGCTCTATCTACTGAGCCAAACCAGTTAGGGCAGAAAAACATTTTTATATGCAGCTTTCTATTTACAGAAGCATTAATTTTGGGGAGCATACAAAATGCGGAGACAAAGAAACAGGTCACAAATGACAGAAATGGAGGAAAGCAAACTACTGGACATAGAGTTCAAAACCACACTTTTAAGGTTTTTCAAGAATTCTCTAGAAACCACTGATAAACTTAATGAGACCCTCAAGAAATCTAATGAGACCCTTGAGGTTGTGATAAAGGACCAACTAGAAATTAAGCATACACTAACTGAAATAAAGA